TCTCCTCCTCCCCAGATGAGGCCAACCTTGGACCGAGCAGCTCACTGCCACAAGGTGACTTTAGAGCCCATCAGGAGCTTCTAAAGAGCATAGTGGCTAACCTGGGGCTAGAGGTTGAGACGCTCAAGGAATCATCCCACAGCCTCATTGACATTCTGGCTGCACCAGCACCATCTAAGGTGGCTCTGTCCATTAACAAGACTGTAATGGGTCTGGTCAGAGCCCTGCTGCAGACCCCATCTTCTCTCCCTGCCACTTCAAAGAGGGCAGAGAAGAAATACTATGTGCCAGCCAAAGGGTACGAATACCTATACTTTAACCCCCCTCCTGGCTCCCTAGTTATATTGGCAGCCAATGAGAGGTCGAGACAGGGCTAAGCAAGTGCTACCCACAAACAGAAGGGCACAAAGAAAACTCTATCTGTTTGGGAGAAAATTTGACAGGTGGACTCCCAAGCCCTGCTGGGGAGATACGATTACAATTCGTGGGACTCCTTGTACATATTTAAAGACTGTGTCTCAGGACTCAAGGCAGGAATTTTCTGCCCTCTTAAAGGAAGAAAAGAATGTTGCCAGAGCCTCACTCCAGGCGGCACTGGACGCAGCTGACACACAGCCAGGATGATGGCCTCTGCAGTGGCCATGAGGCGATGCTCTTGACTGCAGTCCTTGGGGCTACCTCAGGATGTTCAGCAGTCAATTCAGGACCTCCCTTTTGAAGGCTCATCATTTTTTTCGGTGCAAACAGACACAAAGATCCATGGCCTAAAGGACTCAAGGGCTGCCTTCAGGTCGCTAGGCCTCTATGCTCCATCTATTTTGAGGAAGCACTTTAGACCGCAACAGCTGGTCCACTTTTCAGCTCCACCACCAAGACAGGACCTGTTAAAAAGAAGGGCAGAGGTTACAATGTCATCAACCACTTCTATCCACCTCACCTTCGATGCCGGGCTCACATAGGTACTCCAGTGGCCCCAAGCATGCCTTTTGAAAGTGCACTCAAGGGTGCTATATCAGTTCCTGCTTTGAATCCTGCCACCCCCCCCTTTGATTTTGGACTGATTTTGCCACTTCAGCCCAGTGTGGTCCCACATCACATTGGATCCCTGGGTGCTAAATAGAGTGGTAGATGGTTATACCCTTCAGTTTTCATCCACCCCTCCCTCCCATCCTCATCCTTCAGGAAACCTTCTCACGAGCAACTCCTAGGCCAAGAGGTGTAGATCCTCCTACGGATGGGGGCTGTGCAAGAGTCACCTCAAAAATTGAGAGGGAAAGGGTTTTACTCCCGATATTTCTTAATCCCAAAGACCAAGGGAGGGGGAGGGTTTCATCCCATCCTGGACCTGGTTTGCCTCAACAGTTATCTCAAGAAACTGAGGTGCCGCCTGGTCTCCCTGGCCTCCATTATCCCCTCCCTCAATCCAGAGGACTGGTGCTCTGCCCTCAATCTAAGGATACTTACTTTTACATTTCCATCTTCCATTGCCACAGAAGATTCTTCAGATTTATCATAAACCAGACCCATTATCAGTTCGCCCTCCTTGCATTTGGCCTGTCTGCAGCCCTTCGGGTTTTTACAAAATGCATGGTGGTGGTAGCAGCCTTCCTCAGAAAGCAAGATGTTCAAGTCTACCCGTATCTTGATGATCAAGGGTCTTGATGATCAAGGGTTGCTCAGAGGCCCAAGTAAAGAACAGCACAGGCCTGGTCCAAGACACCTTCTGAACACTGGGCCAGTTGATAAACGAGCAAGTCGATTCTCATTCCAGTACAGGGGATAGAGTTTATCGGGCCAGTGCTTGACTCAACCCAGGTCATAGCCTTCCTTGCAGAGGCTCGATTCCAGACAATGTTGGCTCTGATATCCCAGGTCATGGCCCACCCAGTCAGAACAGCCCAGGTTTGCCTCAAGCTCCTGGGACACAGGGCCACGTTAACTTCCGTGTCATGCAAAGCTGCACCTCAGGTCCCTGTAGGTGTTGTTAGCTTCAGTGTATTCGCTGAAGAGACACCACTTGGACTCAGTAGTTACTGTTCCGGCCCCGGTCCTTGCCTCCTTCAACTGATGGAAGAGACCCCCAGTCGGCAGGGGTGGGCATTCCCTTTGTTGTCCCCCAGCCATCCATGTCCCTCGTGTTGAACGCTTCAGACCTAGGTTTGGGAGTCCACCTTGATCTCCTCAGGATGCAGGGCCTGTGGTCCCAGGAAGAGCTCTCCTGGGCACAAAAATGTCAGGGAGTTAAGAGCCATCTGCTTACCTTGCCCAGCAAGGTAGTGCGAGTACTGATGGACAGCACCACGGCCATATTCTACATCAACAAGCAGGGAGGAGTATGTTCCTCCGCCCTACAGCAGTAGGCCATCCATCTATGGGACTTCTGCGTAAAGCACTTCATCCACCTCAAGGCTTCCCATCCTCCAGGAGCCCGGAACTCCCTGGCTCATCACCTCAGCAGATCTCTCTCCTCTTACCACAAGTGATCCCTTCACCCAGAGGTCACCAGGTTCATCTTCAAAAGGTAAGGATCTCCCCAGGTAGATCTGTTCATGACCAAGCAGAACAGGAAATGCCATCAGTTTTGCTGACTGCATGGGCACAGCCCAGGCTCCCTTTCAGATTCCTTCCTGCTTCCGTGGACAGAGCTCCTGTACTGTGTATTTTCTCCAGTTCCTCTAGTACACAGTGTCCTTCTAAAAATCAAGCGGGACAGGGTGAGAGTTATTCTTATAGCCCTGGCATGGCTGTGCCAACACTGATTCAGCATCCTGCGAAACTTATCATTAGCACCCCTGCTAACACTCCCACTCTGTTTGGACCTGATTTCACAACACCACATCCGTTTGCTCCACCGAATGTTGGGTCCCTTCACATGACCACATGGAAGCTCCATGGCTGAATCTGGAGGAGCAAGCCTGTTCAGAACACATTTGACAAGTCTTGCTGGGTAGTAGGAAGCTGTCCACTAGGGCTACCTACCTCACCAAGTGGAAGTGTTTCTTGATATGGTCATCCCAACAAGGCCTTTCTCTGGCTTGGTTTTCCTTCTGTCCTGGAGTACTTGCTTCACCTAAAACAACAAGGTGTGGCCCACACATCTGTCAAGGTACACCTAGCAGCAATTTCAGCCTTCCAGCCGCCAGTGGACAGGTCAGTTTTCTCTCATGAGATGACAATTCGCTTTCTTAAGGGGTTAGAGAGACTTCACCCTCAGGTTTGCAAACCAGTTCCCCCCACGGGATTTGAACTTGGTCCTATCGAAACTCACAGGCCCTCCCTTTGAGCTGCTAGTATGTCCTCTGCTGTTTCTCTCCTGGAAGGTTGCCTTCCTGGTAGCAATTACCTCAGTTAGAAGGGTCTTTGAAATCAGGGCCCTTATGTCAGAACCATCATACTCAGTTTTCTTCAAGGACAAGATTCAACTGCACCCCCATCTGCCTGCCAAAGGTGGTCTCGCAATTCCATAGCAACCAAACCATTTTTCTGCCAGTCTTCTTCTCGAAGCGGCACAAGAATTCAGAAGAGCGGCAGCTTCACTCATTGGATGTTAGGTGTGCCCTTGGCTTCTACATCGAGAGAACTAAACTACTTCGCAGATCCATGCAACTCTTTGTGTCAATAGCAGAGAGGATGAAAGGCCTACTGGTTTCAGGCTAAAGAATCTCATCCTGGATAACCTCCTGTGTTCAGGCATACTACGAGCAAGCGAATGTTCCACCACCTGCCATCTTGACTACTCATTCCACGAGAGTGCAGGCCTCTTCAGCAGCACTTCTGTCCAAAGTTCCAGTCCAAGACATTTGCAGGGCCTCAACATGAGCAACACATCTTGAAGAACAGTTGTTACAGAAGGTCAGTAACTGTTCGTTTGGGGTTGTTTGGGCCCTCCAATCTAAGAATTGAACATGCTTGACCCTGCTTAGCTTGTGATGTCTGTCAAAATCACAGCATGAGATAGTATAGCTGCAGTTTCATATTACAAAGAAAGGATAACACATCTAATCGTTAGATTTATAACAGATATTTTTTCTTTTATTTAATAGTTAATATAATTTAACTCCCTGATAAAGAGTCAATAAAATGTTTCCTTTAGATGGTGTGGGATGGTGTTTTTTTTGGTCTAAAGTATCTTTTATAAGTTTCCTTAATAGATTTCAGAGTAGCAGCTGTGTTAGTCTGTATTCGCAAAAAGAAAAGGAGTACTAGTGGCACCTTAGAGACTAACCAATTTATTTGAGCATAAGCTTTTGTGAGCTACAGCTCACTTCATTGGATGCATCCGATGAAGTGAGCTGTAGCTCATGAAAACTTATGCTCAAATAAATTGGTTAGTCTCTACGGTGCCACTAGTACTCCTTTTCTTAATAGATTTGAATTGAAATTAATGCTGAATGAGTGGCATTCATCAGTTTTTCTTATAGGTACATGTTAGATTGTTAACTTGATAAACTATCTATCAACCTTTTCCTGAGATTTTTTCCTTCCTACATTTTAAAGCTCCTGCCATGTTCTATGACATTTAGCCATTTGTGGCTTGAAGTGTTGCCTAAATGCTGATTAAGCTTAGCTTATGTTTCCCATTTTTAGGCCATATCTTTGTTTCTTATGACTATGTTCTTGCAGCAGTAACAGAGGGTTCACATATCATTTTTAAAAAATAACCATCAAAATAAATTTTGAAATCACCTCCATTCTCATCTTAATGTACAAAGGGTGTATCCCTTTTGGAGATTGAAAATGATTTCGTCTGGCTTGCTAGCTAGCTTATCCCTGACTGCTTTTTTAGACTTCATGTCTTTTATAAATTCCAAAAGGTCTTGGCATCTCAAGTCTGATTACATTTGCAAAAGTCAAAGTGGAAGGTTTCTGGCTCTATTCCTTGTATATAAGCCAAGGAAAGTGTGGGCCCCTTACTGAATGAGGGAGGCAACCTAGTGACAGAGGATGTGGAAAAAGCTAATGTACTCAATGCTTTTTTTGCCTCTGTTTTCACTAACAAGGTCAGCTCCCAGACTGCTGCGCTGGGCATCGCAAAATGGGGAAGAGATGGCCAGCCCTCTGTGGAGATAGAGGTGGTTAGGGACTATTTAGAAAAGCTGGACGTGCACAAGTCCATGGGGCCGGACGAGTTGCATCCGAGAGTGCTGAAGGAATTGGCGGCTGTGATTGCAGAGCCATTGGCCATTATCTTTGAAAACTCGTGGCGAACGGGGGAAGTCCCGGATGACTGGAAAAAGGCTAATGTAGTGCCAATCTTTAAAAAAGGGAAGAAGGAGGATCCTGGGAACTACAGGCCCGTCAGCCTCACCTCGGTCCCTGGAAAAATCATGGAGCAGGTCCTCAAAGAATCAATTCTGAAGCACTTGCATGAGAGGAAAGTGATCAGGAACAGCCAGCATGGATTCACCAAGGGAAGGTCATGCCTGACTAATCTAATCGCCTTTTATGATGAGATTACTGGTTCTGTGGATGAAGGGAAAGCAGTGGATGTATTGTTTCTTGACTTTAGCAAAGCTTTTGACACGGTCTCCCACAGTATTCTTGTCAGCAAGTTAAGGAAGTATGGGCTGGAAGAATGCACTATAAGGTGGGTAGAAAGCTGGCTAGATTGTCGGGCTCAACGGGTAGTTATCAATGGCTCCATGTCTAGTTGGCAGCCGGTATCAAGTGGAGTGCCCCAAGGGTCGGTCCTGGGGCCGGTTTTGTTCAATATCTTCATAAATGATCTGGAGGATGGTGTGGATTGCACTCTCAGCAAATTTGCGGATGATACTAAACTGGGAGGAGTGGTAGATACGCTGAAGGGGAGGGATAGGATACAGAAGGACCTAGACAAATTGGAGGATTGGGCCAAAAGAAATCTGATGAGGTTCAATAAGGATAAGTGCAGGGTCCTGCACTTAGGACGGAAGAACCCAATGCACAGCTACAGACTAGGGACCGAATGGCTAGGCAGCAGTTCTGCGGAAAAGGACCTAGGGGTGACAGTGGACGAGAAGCTGGATATGAGTCAGCAGTGTGCCCTTGTTGCCAAGAAGGCCAATGGCATTTTGGGATGTATAAGTAGGGGCATAGCGAGCAGATCGAGGGACGTGATCGTTCCCCTCTATTCGACATTGGTGAGGCCTCGTCTGGAGTACTGTGTCCAGTTTTGGGCCCCACACTACAAGAAGGATGTGGATAAATTGGAGAGAGTCCAGCGAAGGGCAACAAAAATGATTAGGGGTCTGGAACACATGACTTATGAGGAGAGGCTGAGGGAGCTGGGATTGTTTAGCCTGCAGAAGAGAAGAATGAGGGGGGATTTGATAGCTGCTTTCAACTACCTGAAAGGGGGTTCCAAAGAGGATGGCTCTAGACTGTTCTCAATGGTAGCAGATGACAGAACGAGGAGTAATGGTCTCAAGCTGCAGTGGGGGAGGTTTAGATTGGATATTAGGAAAAACTTTTTCACTAAGAGGGTGGTGAAACACTGGAATGCGTTACCTAGGGAGGTGGTAGAATCTCCTTCCTTAGAGGTTTTTAAGGTCAGGCTTGACAAAGCCCTGGCTGGGATGATTTAATTGGGAATTGGTCCTGCTTCGAGCAGGGGGTTGGACTAGATGACCTTCTGGGGTCCCTTTCAACCCTTATATTCTATGATTCTATGAAGAGACCTCAAAAACTCCTCCATGTGTGTGCTGACTGTGTCAGTGCTGGATGTGTGTGTTCAGTATCTGTAGTGTTTGGGACCAATACCTTTGTTTTGATTTCCAGCCTTTAGCTTTTAGACCCAGGTGAGGGTGCATCGGGGGTGGGGCAAGGAAAGGGAAATTGTATTTTGCTACATGGCTGTTCTAAATAGCAGAATAAGACGATTCTGTCTCAGAACAACTAAGGGTCTAATCTTATCTTGCTTTTAGCGTAAATCTTCCATTAGTGTGGAAGTAAATAATGTAATGAAAATATGCAAAAGGGCTTTGTGATAGATCCAAAATTGAAACCCAATAAGGGGTTTAAAACTCTCAGTGGGACTTATGCCTGCATAACACACATGGGGTTAGGTTTAACATTTTGCAGCTTGACTGTGACTAAGCCTCTTTCTTCCTTTATACCCTATCATGCTATCCTCCTCTCCAAAGCAATGTCACTCTTTTATTCCCTTTACCATTCCTTCTTTGAAGAGAACATTTAACTTCTCCATTCATTTCAGTGCTAATAAGAACAAAGTAGCTTCTAGATTCTTCATGAGTCTAGTCCTGCTTCTCTTAGTATAGAATATTCCTTTTCTGCTAATGATTTTTGCATATCTTTTGTGGAGTTACACATTTTAGTGCATTCTATATCTTACATAATGTTTAAGTAATTACTTTGTAAATGTCTGCATATTCTTTTCTCCATTCCAGACTGATTCATGGAGGGCAGCTGTTAAATGGATTGGCAGGTCCAACTGTAATGAATGCTGCTCCATTTCTCTCCACAACCTGGTTTTCTCCCGATGAACGTGCCACTGCAACGGCTATTGCATCATTGCTCAATTATCTTGGTGCAGCATGTGCATTTTTAGTAGGACCTCTGGTGGTTCCATCTCCGAATGGAACATCCCATCTTCCACTTGCATCAGAAAGTAACTCTGAGCATATCAAGGACCGCATTGAGGCTGTGTTGTATGCAGGTATTTTAAAACTAATTTACTTTTATTGTGTCTAAAGTGTGAACTACTACCCTCTACTGGCTGGCCTGCAGACAAAATTGCTGATGGCTTAAAGAGTAGTTGTTCTATATCTCAAGTGGTAGAAGAATCCTGTGTTCTAGGGGGAGCTAAATTCTGTTCCCTTTGCCACATGTGTGGGGTAACCAATTAGGCTGTGTCTCTGAATGCAGACACAGATTCATTCCAAATGCTGTATCTGGTCTAGTTTTTCATATTTTCTGATTTCCCAGGACAATTATCTTACACTAGGGTTTTGTGTTTTAATGCAGAACTTCAAAATTATGCTTGTTTTGTTGAACTTTTTAACAGTAAACCTCTCACTACCAGTTCATGTTTCTCTTTATCATTAACAGTGATAGTTTAAATCTAACAATCTCTCAGCATTTCATGCATAACTTCTGTGTTAAATCAGTCCTCATTTAGGGCTTAAATGTGTGAGAGTTAGGGCTGTCAATTAATCACAGTTAACTCAAGCGATTAACTCAAAAAAATTAATCACGATTAAAAAAAATTAATTGCTATTAATCGCAGTTTTCATCGCACTGTTAAGCAATAGAATTCAATCGAAATTTATTAAATATTTTTGGATGTTTTTCTACGTTTTCAAATATATTGATTTCAATTACAATACAGAATACAAAGTGTACAGTGCTTACTTTATATTATTATTTTATTACAATATTTGCATTGTAAAATGAGAAACAAAAGAAATAGTATTTTTCAATTCACCACATACAAGTACGGTAATGCAATCTCTTTATGGTGAAAGTTGAACTTACAAATGTAGATTTTGTTGTTGTTACATAACTGCACTCAAAAACAAAACAATTTAACGCTTTAGAGCCTACAAGTCCACTCAGTCCTACTTCTTGTTCAGCCAATCACTAAGACAAACAAGTTTGTTTACATTTACAGGAGATAATGCTGCCTGCTTCTTATTTATAATGTCACCTGAATGTGAGAACAGGTGTTTGCATGGCACTTTTGTAGCCTGCATGGCAAAGTATTTAAATGCCAGATATGCTAAACATTCGTATGGCCCTTCATGCTTTGGCCACCATTCCAGAGGACATGCTTCCATGCTGATGACACTCGTTTAAAAAAATATGCGTTAATTAAATTTTGTAACTGAACTCCTTGGGGGAGAATAGTATGTCTCCTGCTCTGTTTTACCTGCATTTTGCCATATATTTCATGTTATAGCAGTCTCAGATGATGACCCAGCACATGTTGTTCATTTTAAGAACACTTTCACTGCAGATTTGACAAAATGCAAAGAAGGTACCAATGTGAGATTTCTAAAGATAGCTACAGCACTTGACCCAAGGTTTAAGAATCTGAAGTGCCTTCCAAAATCTGAGAGGGACGAGGTGTGGAGCATGCTTTCAGAAGTCTTAAAAGAGCAACACTCCGATGTGGAAACTGCAGAACCTGAACCTCAAAAAAAGAAAATCAACCTTCTGCTGGTGGCATCTGACTCAGATGATGAAAGTGAACATGCGTCAGTCTGCACTGTTTTGGATCGTTATTGAGCAGAACTCCTCATTAGGATGGACTCATGTCCTCTGGAATAGTGGTTGAAGCATGAAGGGACATATGAATTTTTAGTGCACCTGGCGACCGCAGCTACAACAGTGCCATGTGAACACTTGTTCTCACTTTTGGGTGATATTGTTAACGAAGTGGGAAGCATTATTTCCTGCAAATGTACACAAACTTGTTTGTCTGAGTGACTGGCTGAATAAGAAGTAGGACTGAGAGGACTTATTAGGTTCTAAAGTTTTACATTGTTTTATTTTTGAATGTAGTTATTTTTCATTTATAATTCTACATTTGTAAATTCAACTTTCATGATAAAGATTGCATTACAGTACTTGTATGAGGTGAATTGAAGAATACTATTTCTTTTGTTTTTTACAGCACAAATATTTGTAATAAAAATAGAATCATAGAATATCAGGGTTGGAAGGGACCTCAGGAGGTCATCTAGTCCAACCCCCTGCTCAAAGCAGGACCAATCCCCAACTAAATCATCCCAGCCAGGGCTTTGTCAAGCCTGACCTTAAAAACTTCTAAGGAAGGAGATTCCACCACCTCCCTAGGTAATGCATTCCAGTGTTTCACCACCCTCCTAGTGAAAAAGTTTTTCCTAATATCCAACCTAAACCTCCCCAAATAAATGTAAAGTGAGCACTGTACACTTTGTGGTCTGTGTTGTAATTGAAATCAATATATTTGAAAATGTAGAAAACATCCAAAAATATTTAAATAAATGGTATTCTATTATTGTTTAACAGTGTGATTAATTGCACGACTAATTTTTTTAATTGCTTGGCAGCCCTTGTACGAGTCTTTCAAAAGTGATTTGTTAAATAATTATTTGAGAATATAATTGTGGAATAAAACCCACTAGATCTTGATTTTTTTAACCAAAAAGTATTTAATGCTGTTCTTTAGATTTATTCAGAAGCAACAATTTACTGAATAGTAGTAATGTATGAAAATGAACACTGTACAATACTTGATTTATTTATCCAAACTATTCCTTGTGATGGTTTCTTCAGGACAGCAGGATAATTTCTTAGGTGTTTTAAGAAACTTATTCTAGTCATGTTCAGTGGCAAATTGTTTTCTTTAAAGATGCGGCTGAACTCCGGTTTAAGAATCTAGGGCTTGATTCTCTTCTAATGTAAATTGCTATAGCTGACCATTTCATGTCAGTTAAGAATTTGGCCCAGTTTTCTCTCTAGAGTTCATAGAATCATAGATTTTAAGGTCAGAAGGGACCATTATGATCATCTGGTCTGACCTCCTGCACAACACAGGCCACAGAATCTCACCCACCAAGTCCTGTAACAAACCCCTAACTTATGTCTGAGCTCCTGAAGTCCTCAAATCGTGGTTTAAAGACTTCAAGGTGCAGAGAATCCTCCAGCAAGTGACCCATGCCCCACGCTGCAGAGGAAAAACCCCCGTGGCCTCTGCCAATCTACTCTGGAGGAAAATTCCTTCCCAACCCCAAATATAGCGATAACCCTGAGCATGTGGGCAAGACTCACCAGCCAGACACCCAGGAAAGAATTCTCTGTAGTAACTTAGATCCCACCCCATCTAACATTTCATCACAGGCCATTGGGCATATCTACCGCTAATAGTCTAAGATCAATTAATTGCCAAAATTAGGCTATCCCATCATATCGTATCAGTTCAGTCAAGAGATATTGCTAGGCTCATTTTTTTCTCTTTAAAATGTTTTTGAAAAGGCATCTTAGTGGTTAAAAGTGTATATACTATAGTGTATATAGAAGTATATTGGACTCTCCTGGCTATTTGCAGTGCTTTGTGCCTGTCCATTCTTCATGAGGCGAGTTTTCTTATAGGTTAATAATGACAGGGTATCGGGCACTTTCCTTTCTTTACAAGCAGTTGAAGTTGGATCATCGTGTAAGTGGGTACGACAGAGCCCCTGCTTCTTTGAGTGCTTGCTCATATCCATTCCATGTTAGGTGTGTGTGCGCTGTGTGCACAGTTGCCAGAGAATTTTCCTTCAGTGGTATCTGTCAGGCTGCCCATAGCGCCCTCTGGTGCTGTGTGCTCATGCACTGGTATAAGGGGCCCAGCCGGCCCCACACCCTCTCAGTTCCTTCTTACTGCCCATGACGGTCGCTGGAATAGGTCCTCTTGCTTTGGCAAGGCATTCATTCAGTGATTTTTCTTGTTATTCTCTAGTTTAGTTTTATTTTAATCTTAATTTCTAGTTTAGTGTAGATAGTGTATATATTTAGAACCCCTCTCTTAGCTTAGAGGGGCTTCTTTCACCCCTAGGGCTAGGCATTCCCTGGTCTCCGAGCTGCAAACCCTGCACCTCCTATGGCAAGCCTATGCCAGTGAGTGACCCACAATCCAGTTGTCTGAAGTGTCTAGGAAAGGCTCATGTATAGAAGCGTTGTCAAATCTGCCAGGACTTCAAGCCTCAAACGAAGAAGGCTAGAGAGGCTAGACTAATGGAAGCCGTGTTTAGACTGGCGTCGGAGCCAAGTTGGTCAGACTTGGTGCTGATCGCTGTGATTTTGGTGTGAAGCACCCTTCTGGCAATTCCCGTTTCTCAGCACCGTTCTCCATCTCTGGTACCGAGACAAAAGCATAAGAAGTAGCAATCCAAGAGGGGACGCGCCTTCGTACTGAGGGCAGCAGAGTGTGATCTGCATTGGGCAACTCCTCTATCCTTGTTCTGCTAGTGGCACGGTCAACACTGCCCTGCTCACAGGTGCCATTGAGTCCAGTGTGGGAACATCCACCGATGCCAGTGAGTCACTGTGGCACCATCGGGATTGCGGTGCCTTCCACCCGAGAGCCTTTTCAGCAGCCAGGGACTTCATAACACTTCTGGAACTGCCAACCTTAGTGGGGCAACCACCAGCTCCGATGAGTGCATTGAGCAGAAGGGATCATGGGGCCCCCGAGCTCATACCCGGCACTGGTGACTGCAATACTGACAAGAGGCAGACCGGCTCTCCTGTCGTTGGTGAGGGCTTCCCTGATCTGGCACTGATCCCCAGACCCTCGGGACTGACTGACGGAAGCAAAGGGTACCCGTTTCTCCCTGGTATCCCCAAGAGGACTCCTCCTTGGAGTCAGAGCCACCACTACCCATCCTACATCCCACTGGATCTCGGTGTGGGTCCCCCTGCTGGTACCTGGCCTGGAGGACAGTGGCCAGTGAAGGTCCAGTGGCTGTACTGGAATCTGTGGGGCTTTCCCCCCAGTACCAGGTCCTTGGTCCAGCTGTTCCTACTCGGACTTAGTCCTGGGAGATGTAATTGTGGCTGAAGAAGAAGAGGAAGGCCCCTTCCTCCTCCCCTCCCCCCCGTGCAGGCCTCTTCCTCCTCCACCTCAGATGAAGCTGGCGCAGGACTAAGCAGCTCGGTGCCATGGGACAATTTTAGAGCTCATCAGGAGCT